ACTTCATTGGCTTTTTTGGTTTAAAGCCCAATTCTGTCAAAAGTCTTCTAATCCATAATAATTCACAAACTCCTTGAGCCAGTCCTTGATACTCTGCTTCAGGACTAGACCGAGAAACCACATTTTATTTTTTACTGAGCCAAGTGACTAGGTTACCTCCCACGAATGTAAAGTAACCAGAAGTAGAGCGTCTATCTGTAATGGAACCAGCCCAATCGACATCTGTATATCCAACAACTTCAAGATCTCCATTTTTTGAGAATATTAATCCCTTCCCAGGGGCTAACTTTAAGTACCTTAAGATCTGATCAACTACATTCCTATGAGAAACATTGGGCGAATGCATAAACTGACTAACCATAGTCACAACATATGCAATATCTAGTCTTGTCTTGTGTGTGCCAAATACACATATCTCAATGGGTGTGTTAGCCGGCTTACATCCAAGCATTCCTGTTTTAGTGAGCAGATCCATTACATACTTCATTTGAGACAAAAATATACCAGTTTTTGACCTTGCTACTTCAATTTCGAGAAAGTACTTCAAATCACCTAAATCATTCATCTCAAATTCCTGAGACAAATTCTTTTTCAGCTTCAGTTGTTCTCCTGTGTTGTTTCCAGTTACGACTATGTCATCCACATAAACAATCAATGCAGTAAGTTTTCCTTCATCATGCTTCAATAACAGGGTGGGATTTGAATTACTGTGTATATCCAAAATTCTTCATAGATTTAGTAAACTTGCCAAACCATGACTTAGGAGATTGCTTTAACTAATATAATGACTTTATGAGCTTGTAAACTTGATTCTTCTTGTCATGAGCTAAATTACATCATGGGGGTAAGTACATATATATACTTCTTCTTCTAAGTCTCTATATAAGAATGTATTTTTGACATCAAACTGATCTAATGGCCAATCTAGATTTGCTGCTAGAGACAATAGGACTCTGATAGTGTTAATCTTGGCTACTGGGGCAACGATCTCCTGGTAGTCTATCCCATATCTCTGTGTGTACGCCTTCGCCACAAATCTAGCTTTATATCTTTCAATGGATCCATCTGCTTTGAGTTTCACAGTATAAATCCACATGCATCATACTGTCTTCTTTCCATGAGGTAAGGGCACGAGTTCCCATGTGACATTCTTTTGGAGAGTTCGCATTTCTTCATTTATGGCTTCTTTCCATTTTTGGGTTTTCTAGTGCTTCAGTCGCACTGTTGGGGACATATATGTTAGCTAACTACTTCACGAAGTGTACACATGACTTTGATAATCTGTTAAGAGATATTTAATTATTGATGAGGTATTTCCCTTTGGCTTTAAGATCTGTTTTGTATTGTACTCAAGGTTTGCCACGGTTCTTCTTTTCTGGAAGTTGATATGTACGCTTTGTGCCTTCTGAAATCAAATCATCATGAGATATTTCATTAATGTTATCAGTTTCAGGAAAATATGTTACCTGAATGACTTCCTCAACATGTGATTGGTGTGGTACTGGAGCTGAAGCAGACAAAATCTCATAAAACGGTTCAATTTCCTCATCCTGATTTTGACAGCGTGGAGACGATCGATCTTTTTACACTGGCGACCGATCCTTTTGAAGCAGGTTCTCTGTGTTCGAAGAACTAAAGGGGGGCGACCGGTCTCTTTCCAATGGCGACCGGTCGTTTTGAAGCAAGTTCTCCGTGTTCGAAGAACTAAGGGGGGCAACTAGTCGCTTTCCACTAGCGACCGGTCGTTTTGAAGTAGAGTTACGTCTGGGGGAAAAAAATTGAGAATTTTGGGAGTGATGGATTCTCAATTCTCCTCCTGTGTTGCTGAAAAATATAAGTCGTGTTCCTGGAACACAACATCCATGGAGGTATAGATCTTCTGACTAAGAGGATGATAACACCAGTATCGTTTATGATGAGGTGCATAGCCAATGAAAAAACAATTTTCTGCTCGGGGATCTAATTTGCTTTGTTGGTGATCATGTAAGTGGGCAAATACAACACAGCCGAAAATCCGGGGTTCCAGGTTTGGGGTGGGAGGTATTTGGATATGGTAGTGAAGTGTTTAAAGTGGTGTTTGGAAATTTAGGATACTAGAGGGAATCCGATTGATGAGGTATGCTGTAGAGAGGACGGCTTCTCCCCAAAAAGGTCGAGGCATATTGGTATCAAAGAGAGAGGCACGAACTACTTCCAATAAATGTCTGTTCTTTCTTTCAGCAACTTCATTTTATTGGGGAGTGTAGGGGCATGAGTATTGATGTATGATGTATGATGCCATGATCTTGTAAGAACTTGTTAAGATCATGGCTGAGAAATTCTTTGCTATTGTCAGAATGGAGAACTTGGATTTGGGCATGAAACTGTATTTCCACTATTTTATGGAACTATTGAAACTTTAAACTGACTTCCCCTCTAGTTTTAAGAAGGAAAACCCAAGTTATATATGTGTGTGCAATCATCTATAAATGTGACAAATCATCGAGCTCCTGCCAGAGTGGTAATTTTAGAAGGTCCCCAAACATCAGAATGAAAAAGAGAAAATGGAACCAAACTCTTATTTGAACTTAATGGGAACGGGACATGATGGCTCTTAGCCAATTCACCCGTATTACATTGGAAGCTGGAAACATCAAGACTGGAAAATAATGATGGAAACAACTTCTTAAGATACATGCCATAACCAAACTTTGTCTCTCTCCCGTTCAGAATGAGTTCCACTTGTTGTGAAAGCTTGACCAACCTTGGTCTCACTATCCGGTGCCTAGTCCAAGTAGTAGAGTTTGCCCCACCTAGTACCACAACCAATCGTCTTTCCCGTAAGGATGTCCTGAAAAACACAATGATTCAGCCAAAATGTTACAGTACATCCCAAAGTAGTAGTAAATTGTGCAACAGACAACAAGTTATGGTCCAAGGATGGAACAAGCAACACAGAATCCAGATGTAGGGAATTAGAGAGATAGAGTGCCCTCCCCAACCACAGGGGAGGGGGTACCATTAGCATTAGACATCACCGACGAAGTGGATGATTTGCGACTAAGGCCATGATCAAATGTTATGTGATCTGTAGCATCCGAGTCAATAATCCATGCAGACTTTTTAGAGGATGTATGAAAAACAGAACATTTGGTAGTGGTGATAGAAGCACGAGTCCGAGTAGTTGGGTCAGTAGGATTGACCGCATGCTTCTGTGAATCTGCAAGGAAGGAGAGAATTGTAGGGGGTCCTAACATCGAAAAGGTAGTAAGATGTGATATGAGAATGTTAGGAATTTGATTAGAGGAATTTGATTTAAGGAATGTGATTTGAGGAATTTGATGTACGAATTTGATTTGAGAGGTACGTGTATAAGATTTGAGG